CTCCTTTTTTACTTTTTACCTAGGGTTTTGCTCCTTTTTTACCTTTTTAGCTAGTGTTCTGTTCCTTTTACCTTTTTTAGCTGGTGTTCTGCTCCTTCTTTTCCTTTTAGCTAGGGTTTAGCTTCTTTTCCCTTGAACAACTCTGTTTCATCTCCTTGAGAAAGTTTCAGCGATCCGTCATCACTCGGCGTTAGCCTTGTATTTTTGCGAGCGGTCCGTGTTGTTGCGGTCTGTGTGTGTAACTGTGTGTTTGTGTTGCTGCTGCAGGCCAACACCACGGTGGAGGTTGATGTTCAGACAGCAGAGAACCTGCAGGTCAGCAGACTCGACTTCATGGCTTCTCTGAACAACGACATCAAACCGGTAAGTTTTCTGTCGAAAGAAGAACGAGCTGCGCTCCGTCATGTTTAGTAGTTTTGGAAATCATCTCTTGTCTATTGGTGTTTTTCCTGTTTACCTGTTTGTTTGTTTGTTTGTTTGTTCGCATCAACTTATCATTTGGTTAATTTAAATGTAAACCGTTTTAAAGTGAATCAGTGTAGATGCTAAGTGCTAAATGTTGCTAACTTTGTAGCTTTTGCAGGAAGTTTAGCTTCTCTTTTCAGGACTTGTTGTTGTCAGAGGAGTCTGCTTGTGTTTCTAGACGTCAGTCATTTTATTGGTTTGTGCAACTTTTATATTTCAGAATTGTTTCATATTTCGTAGAAGATGCAAACCGGTGATGCAGAGCTTCATTAAACACCGGAGCGTTCCGTTTTCTTTCTTTACTCGCTCCAAAACGTTTCAAAGGAACAGCTGGTGAACGTTGTTGTCCCTCTCCTCCAGGCGTTTGGCACCAACCAGGAGGACTACGCCAGCTACATCATGAACGGTATAATCCGCTGGGGCGACCCTGTGTCGGCGGTTCTGGAGGACGGAGAGCTGCTGGTTCAGCAGACCAAGAACAGCGATCGCACCCCACTGGTCTCGGTGCTTCTGGAAGGTGCGGCACAAAAACATCTTGGTCTAATCACGCTTCACGAATCCACGAAACTTCGACCGCAGCTTCTGTAACCGAACTCGTTCTTCACCCTCAGGCCCACCGAGCAGCGGGAAAACGGCGCTAGCAGCTAAGATCGCAGAAGAATCCCAGTTCCCTTTCATCAAGATCTGCTCTCCTGACAAGATGATCGGACATTCTGAGATTGCAAAGTGCCAAGCCATCAAAAAGGTTTGATCTGCAGCTGATCATTTCCAAGATGGAAGCTACGTATGCAGGGGTTTCCCTTTATTGTGCAATGAATTGGATTAAAGTTGCATTAGATGATAGTATCTTGTGGGGGCGGGGCCTAAGATGAGAGATGTGTTTCTATTGGCCAGTCTTGACGTAAACCTGCAGACTGATCAATAATGGGTCTTATTCAGGACCAGATTTAAGGAGAGTCTGGGCCCCTGAAATCTACATAATAATAATAATATTGACATTTTTTTTAATTTTATACAAATAATACTGATTATGTGCACAATAACTTTAGGCTTCTAGTCCTCAGAGCAGAGCTGAATCTAGTTTTAATCTTATGTTTAAAGTCTAAACCACAGATAATCTGCTCTCTTACAGTTGTTTAAGAAAACATGAATTTATTGAAAACAATAAAAATAATTCAGGGTCCTCTGGGCCACAGGCCCCGGACTAATGCCCCAATAAGCCCTTTGTAAAGTCTGACCTCGGCCTTTTAGTTTAATTTGACTGTTTTATTGAGTAAAGTGTCTAGAACTCATCTAGTGCCAGTATTATGGATTTTTATGTGTATTTGGATCAAAATAAAAAACAATAAGAGAATGGATGGAATGTTTTAATAGTCTAAATTAAAATCTAGATGATTATCACGTCAGGGTAGTTTTGATTTAAAACTTGATACTGAACGTTTTGTTTGTTTACCAGATATTTGAAGACGCCTACAAATCCCAGCTGAGCTGTGTGGTTGTGGACGACATCGAACGCTTGTTGGGTTAGAGCCTCGTTCTTTTCTCATCAACGGCTGAAAGTTTAAATTTATTCTTTGAACCCTGATTTGGCTTTCACGTTACTTTTTGTGATACCACGCCAGTATAATTAGCACTTTTTAATTTTATATTTATATAGTAAAATGTTTGTGTCTTTCAGGATATAGGTGCTATGACTTGGTTTTTGTAACTTATTTATTTCAAAATATTTAACTTTATTTAGCAAAATGTTTCTCATAGAAATGCGTTGCGATTTCTTTAGTTCCTTCAAAAACCGTTGTTCTGTGGAATCTGCTTTAGCAAACTGGCTCTAATTTGGCCTTCTTGTGCCACTTTTAGCTTTTAGTTACTGTTCTGCCACTTTTAACTGGTCTTTGGCTACTTTTAGCTTCAAGCTACAATTTGACTATTTTTTTCTGTTAGCTAGCCTTTTGCTACTTATAGATGTTAGCTTTTTGTTATAACGTGTTATTTTACCTAGCTGATTGATTATTTTAGCTAATGATTTGCAGCTTTTAGTTAGTTTTTTGTTACAATATTGTTTAAGTAGCCTTTTGATACTTTTATCCTTTAGCTATGATACTTTTGGTTTGCCTTTAGATACTTTTAGGTTTTAGCTAGCCTTTAGTTAATTATGTTTTAGCTAACGTTCTGCTTCTTTTAGCAGGTCTCTGGCTACTGTTGGCATCTAGCTTTGCTATTTTTAGCTTTTAGTTGGCCTTTGGCTACTTTTAGCAATCATTTAACTACTTTTAACTTCAATTTACAATTTGACTATTTTTTTCTGTTAGACTTTTCATACTAGCTTTAGCTAGCCCTTTGATACTTTTAGCTAGCCCTTTGATACTTTTAGCTAGCCCTTTGATACTTTTAGCTAGCCCTTTGATACTTTCAGCTAGCCTTTTGCTACTTATAGATGTTAGCTTTTTGTTTTAAGGTTTTATTTTACCTAGCTGATTGATTATTTTAGCTAATGATTTGCAGTTAGTTTTTTGTTACAATATTGTTTAAGTAGCCTTTTGATACTTTTATCTTTTAGCTATGATACTTTTGGTTTGCCTTTGGATACTTTTAGGTTTTAGCTAGCCTTTAGTTAATTATGTTTTAGCTAACGTTCTGCTTCTTTTAGCAGGTCTCTGGCTACTGTTGGCATCTAGCTTTGCTACTTTTAGCTTTTAGTTGGCCTTTGGCTACTTTTAGCTTCAATCTACAATTTGACTATTTTTTTCTGTTAGACTTTTCATACTAGCTTTTAGCTAGCCCTTTGATACTTTTAGCTAGCCCTTTGATACTTTAAGCTAGCCCTTTGATACTTTAAGCTAGCCTTTTGCTACTTATAGATGTTAGCTTTTTGTTGTAAGGTTTTATTTTACCTAGCTGATGGATGTTTTTAGCGAGCGGTTTGCTGCTTTTTGTTACAATATTGTCTAAGTAGCCTTTTGATACTTACTTCCTGTAGCTAGTTTTATGATACTTTTGGTTTGTCTTTAGATACTTTTAAGTTTTTAGCTAGCCTTTTGATTCAGTTTGTATTTAGCTAGTTATGTTTTAGCTAGCCTTCTGCTTATTTTAGCTTTAACAACTCGGTTTCAGCAAATTTCAGCAGTTTTTCAGCACTCTGTCTTCACTCAGCTGTTTTGCAGGTTTTTATTTGCACATGCTTGGGTGAGACTTAAGTCGAGTGAACTTCCTGTTTCTTCAGATTACGTTCCGATTGGACCTCGTTTCTCCAACCTGGTGCTACAAGCTCTGCTGGTGCTGCTGAAGAAGCCGCCTCCAAAGGTAAGCCAAAAAAGAAGATCCGATTCAGTCGTGGTTTCTGATTTGGTGCTTAGTTTTGGGATGGCCGAAAGAGGGCAGCAGATCTTCTGGATGCCGACACAAAGTCTTACGAAGAATTGTTGGAGGTCTCTGGCTGCAGTTTTTTCCTGTGTGTGGTTATTAGCGAGTGTTTGGCCCCGGGTCTGTTGTGTTGGGAGTGAATGGCGGTGACGGAGACCCGTTTCTCATTGTTTCTTTGCTCGTAGTTTGTCTCCAGTGCCAGTTTGTGTTCGCCCGTTGTCGTTGTGTTTGTGAATGAGGCTACGAGCCACTCTATGGCAGCATGAGAAGGGGCGCGGGGCCGGGTGTTGAATGCCTGGCTGCAGCGCTCCTCTGGGGTTGTAAAGCGTTGAGCCCAGCGGGGTGCCTGGGGCCGGGGGAGGCCAGGGGGACACGGAGGAGAAAGGGCTCTGTGAGAGATCCAGGACCTGGCAGCGCTGCCGCCTGTGTGGCACCTCATCTGCATGCAGCATCACAACCCCCCACGCCATGGGGGGGCAGCCAGCAGCCATAATCCCCCTGTCTGCTCACCAATCTTCCTCCGTTGTCTTCTCCTGGTCGTCCTCCAACTCGCCGGCTTAGCAGCGAGTCTTTTCCTTCTCTTTTGTCGTCTCTGCTCATGTTTGTCCTCTGTTGTCGTTTTCTGCTCCATTCTTCAGTCTTTCCTTCTTTCTCTCGGTGTTCTTTATGTTTTTTATGCCTCGATTTTGTCTTAGCTCCTGTATTATGGCAGCTTTCGTCTGAAACTACCTAAAATCACAAATATTGGTGGAGGAATTACCAATTCATTCATAAACAGACGTCAGAAGGAGATTATTTTAGAAATATATGTAATAAAATCCCAAATCAAAACCAGTGAAACAGGGAACATAGTGTTGCTGCATTGACTGTTATCCTAAACTAAAAACCAAACGAGGGACAGAAAAGGGACTAAAATCATTAATGATCCTAACTAACACGACCAAATGTTGCATCCCGCAAGATTTCTGTTCTCAAAACAAACCGATTCAATACACAAGAAGCGTTCCGGCGGAAAATTATTTATTTTATTTTTCCTTGGACTAAATATTGTTTGAAATCACAAACTTTTCAAGTTTGACTCAGAAAATAAAAGCTGTGACTTGTGAACTCGTCTAGAACTGAAGTTTTCAAACATTAAAAAGAGTGTCATGATTTTTATGCATTTAGGACCTCTGTTTTTATTTAACATGCTTTTGACAATCATTTTTAAAGTTAGTCGTATTTCCATCAATTTTCAAAATGCCCCCTGTAATTGGTTTTTTATGACCCCGGCTGTAGGAACCACTGGTTTAATTTGTAAAAACAGATCCCAGAGCTCCTAAACTTTTTGTAGCTCTGACACTGTCCATTAATAATGTCCCAACCACTTTATGAAACTAATGTGTTTGTAATTAGTTCAGTGCTTGGACCAATACTCTTTACCATGTATATGCTTCCATTAGGTAATGATGACAGGGAGCCAGTGGAGAGAAGCTAAAACTGGAGAGAGATGATCTCTCCCACTAACTCCAGTTAAGACTGGCAGCAGCATTTTGGATCAACTGAAGACGTTTTAAAGAAGTATTTGGACACCCAGATAATAAACCATCGCAATAGTCCAGTCTAGACGTGACAAATGCGTGGACCAGTTTTTCTGCATCATTTTTAGATCAGATGTTTCTAATTTTAGTGATATTACGCAGGTGGAAGAAGGAGGTTCTACTTTGTAGTAACGTTTTTATTGGGGGTGATAAAAGACATGTCCTGATCAAAAATAACACCAAGATTTTTAACATTAGAGCTGGAGGACAGATTAATGCTGTCCAAGGAGGCGAAAGACTGAAAAATTTATTCCTAAAATGCTCAGGTCCAAAAACTAAGACCTCAGTCTTGTCTTTATTCAAAAGGAGAAAAATAAGGGTCATCCAGGTTTTTATGTCTTTAAGACATCTTGTAGTCTAAGTAGCTGATTGGATTCATTGGGTTTAATGGACAAATATAACTGTGTATCATCAGCATAACAATGAAAATTTATCCCACGCTGTTTAATAACTTTACCTAATGGAAGCATATGTAAGGTAAAGAGTACTGGTCCAAGCACTGAACCTTGAGGAACTCCATGACTAACTTTTGTGTATAAAGATTTATTATTTACATTTACAAATTGGAATCTATCAGAAAGATATGATTTAAACCAATTTAGAGTTGTTCCTGTAATTCCAATATCCTATTCATAGTCTCTGTAATATAATATTATAATTCAAAATCTTACTTCTAACCTACAAAGCTCTCAATAACCTAGGTCCGTTTTATGTTACAGATCTTATTGTTCCATATTTTCCTAACAGAGCACTTTGCTGTCAGACTGCAGGTTTACTTGCTGTTCCTAAAGTTTCCAAAAGCAGAATGGAAGGCAGATCTTTAAGTTATCAATTCAATTCAGTTTATTTATATATCGCCAAGTCACAGCAGAAGTCGTCTCGGGGCATTGAACAGAAACATTCGCATACTTTATAAAAGCCAGTTAGTAAAAGTTTTCTAAGGAAGCAGCAGATTGTGTTGTATCTTCACTTCGTCACAGTCGAACCCTTAGTCAATTAAATTACATTTCTCTGCAACTGAGGACAAAAACCAGCAAATGAATTCAAAGAAGATGGTAAATTTGTGAAAATATCAATAAACAAATGGGACGCTGCGTCTCTTTCAGGGTCGTAAGCTGCTGATCATCGGCACCACGAGTCGGAAGGACGTCCTCCAGGAGATGGAGATGCTGGACGCGTTCAGCACCGCCATCAACATCCCCAACATCTCAGGAGGGGAGCAGCTTGTCGAGGCGCTGGAGGTAAAAAACAGACATGTTAATTTAATATGCTCAAATTTTTATTATTCCACCACTTTATTCTTGATAGAAACACAATTTTTATTCTTCGTCTACACACCAGGTGTGTCTACACACCTGATGTTTAAATTATAACTGAAGCTGAAAGTTGTTTTCAAGCTTTTACAACAAATACGACGGTTGTTCTTTATTTTTATTATAAATGATGGTTTCCTCTGCTCTCCACAGCTGCTGGGTTCCTTCCAGGAGAAAGAGCGTATGAGCATAGCTAAAGCTGTAAAGGGCGAATGTTTATTCATCGGGATCAAGAAGCTGCTCATGTTGATTGAAATGGCTGCACAGGTAAGACGCTGACTGTTATCTTTGCACGTTTAAAAACACGATCAAAGCAGAGCAGATGAGTCTGAGCTGAGCAGAAGGTGGAGAGAGGCTTTTTAACAACTCCATCACCAACTCAAACTATTAAACTGCAGCGGCCTGTCCCTCCTCTTCCTCAACATCTGGTTGACATTCCCAGCAGCTGCCCGTCGCTCCGACAGGGACAGAAACACTGTCGTCCACGAGCCGGAAAGAAAATCTGTGGCTCTGCTGAGGATTTGTCAAGCGGAAGGATCTCCAGTTCACACGTCGTTCTCCGAGCTGCCGAGGTTCCACGTTTTAAACAAAAACGTTCTGAATCTCTGTCAAAGCAAAGTTAAGAGGAATCGATGGTAGATGGTTAACAAAGCTCTGTCTGGTCTGCACACAGTGCTGTCATGGTCAGCTACGAGGAAAGGTGTTTAAAAGCAGGCGAAAGAATTGTACAGAAGTCCGGCTGCTCCAAAGTAAAAAATAAAAATAGGCGTGCTTTAAATCTTTACATCATAACATATGTTTGGTATATCCAAGAGGTTGTAGTAGCTCAGTGGTCAGTGTAACCCTGAGGCCGCAGGTTCAAGCCCAGCTTGAATCAGGAAGGGCGTTTGCAGTAGTCCTTCGGTTATTGAGGGGGTTACGTTCCACACACCCCTGCTATAGGTGAAAAAACGTGAAGTAGGAACGCTGTATTAGAGCTGTCATTTCTAACCCGGAGCCCGGCCCCACCATACCCGGATTCAGATTGGGCCAGTCCATAATAATGTGGGTCAGGTCGGTGTCTGTTTGATTGCGTCAGCGGACGTGTGCGACTGACAATACAATTATATGGCAACATGGCTTGCCATACAATCACCAGCCGCAGGTGGCTATTTGACCGTGCGCTGACCGGCCTTGAAAGAGGTAAAAAGTTCAGCTTCAGATAAACTATTGCCAGCGATCCATCAGCCCAAATAGATGTTCATTCAGCCGCTGCACTCAGCGGACGCGCACGGCCGACGACCCAAACAGGTGAGGTCACAAAATATCCGACATGTCAGAGCAGGGTCCATGTCTGAATAATGCAGATTGCAGGCAGAAGCAGGGATTTAATGCTCTTTGACGGCCATGAAAATATATATATATAAAATGTTTAAGGCTTTATAAACCCTTCCCACACTATTGTATTGTTCTAATCTCTTAAACCTAAGTAATTTTAACAGCATACACATATGTACAGTACTGCAACATTTTATATGGGTACTCGCCAGCCTTGGTCCAGTTCTGGTCCAGTTCTGATCGGCTCTCTGCAGCCGTTGAGCACCAGACATTTTTGGAGAGAGCCGGACCTTCAGAGAGCCAACACAAAACCACAAAATGGTCCAGATCGAGTCCAAATAATCCAAAAGAATCTGGATGAAAAAAGTCCAGGTGAGCTCCGGAGAAGACAAAGGACCTCCTCGCTCGAGACGCTTCCTGGGCCGGCGAGCAGCTCTCGGATTGACCGATGAGGCTGGAAGTAGTTCTGGTTCAATTCCCGGTCAGTTCCGTACGGCTCTCTGCAGCCACTGATCACAGAAGTCATTATGAATAAGGACCGAACTTTTTAGTTGGGTTTGAATCGGATCAAAACTTTCCCTTCATTTCGGCAGAAAGCAGCGGCCCGAAGCACTGTTGGCTTCTGGGTAGCGTAGTTCTTTGGCTTTACAGTGTAGGCTTACTGAGAGAAAACTACAAAATGGCGGCGCCTGTCCAAAGTATTTTTTTCGATCAGAAGATCGAGACGAACTGTGAAGTAGCGAGGGACGACTAGCCAAATCTTTCATGCACGTTCTCTCACTGTGCAGCTGAAAAAACAAGTTGGATTGATCCAAATGCAGCAGAAATTATTTTTATTTTTAGACATTTTTTAAAAACTGATGTGTCTAGGATTGTTTATTTTCTGTTCTGCTCTTTTCAGCTTCTGTTTTTTCCCTTCATTAGCCCGCTGTGGCTCAAAGTTCTTAATCTGTGGTCACGATGATAACGAGGCTGAAAATACCATCAGATTTTAGTACTCCTAACCAAACGCTCCTGCAGGACCATCTCCTCCTGACTTTATGTGAATGATGTGAGATGCCTGTTTTTTGAGGCGATATAATTGCTGTGGTATGCCCCCCCCCCCCCATTCTGTGCATGAAGAAGTATGAACCTGTTTGCCGAGACCCGCTGCTAACACGTTCACTCAAATGTTTTCTGCCTCATCTGATCATCAGCATCGACAAACTGTGTTCAGTGTGGAATTACTGGACGTTCGCGCTGCCGTGTGAAATAATTTTACTAAATTGTCTTTCAGATGGATCCTGACTACAGGGTTAGTAAGTTCCTGAGTCTACTGAAAGATGAAGGAGCGTAAGTATTCACTTCCTGCTTCTCGACAGGTTTCTGTGACACTGAACACTCACACCACTCATCCGTCACTTGTACCGTCTGCATTTGCAGAAACAGCTGAGAAGAGAGCGCAGATGTTTACATTTCATCGTATCAAGTATGATTAATACTCAACATGGTTTGTTTCTCCCCCTCTTGTAGATTGGGTTATAAGCTGGCAAGAATCTAAACTTGTGGAGCCGCATGGTGGAGAAGAGGCATCCCTCCATGGTGAGACCTCAAAGCCTGCTTTAAGTTTTTAAATGTTCTGCTCATCTTTTCCTCCAAACGAGAAAAGAGAGGATTAACAGTAAACAAACAAGGTTGAGTCAGGTCCACTTCTTCATCGCTGAAAGAGTGACGTCTGGCCTGGAGATGAGTGTAGACCACAGAGTCCTGGTCTGATGATGTTGTTCTTCTGTGCTGGGCCGTCCTTTTGACCAGTGGCTGTTTAGTTTCCTCGATGTATGTTCCAGCAAAGAAGGATCCATCCAGAGGACCTGACTCGACCTTGTTAGAATTAGCTACTTGGATTACTGAGCATGCAGCAACACAGATTAACAGCAGATGGAAGTTAATTATCACCAGCGAAAGGGTGCATTTTCTAACAAGAGCTGATTTCACTTAAGACGATCATTTTTGTTGCAAATTTGAGTTGCCAGTTAGTCTCCAACAGTCACGGCCCTGTGCAGTACGAGCTTTATTCAACAGCTCAACATCATTTTTTACATAACTGAGTAACTTGGTGTTGACATGACATTGCATGAAATGACGCTGCTTCTGGATTGGGCTACTCATTTTAGCCTCTGTGTGACTCCCTTTAGCCTCTGTGTGACTCCCTTTAG